CCAGCAACTCACGGCAGCCCAGCTCCAGGTTAAGCTGTTGTTCAGCATCTTAGCTGTAGAGGGCAGTGTCACTGGCCCTCATATGTGGGATCCTAACCGGTGCCCTCTGGCGTCCCAAGCCAGTTCTTAACCATCGCACCACTCGGCCGGCCCTAACTATCACTTTTTAACTCTGGATTTCTGTCGGATTTTAAATTTTTCTTACCTCAGAAGAATTTATTAAACTCCTTTATACTACAGAGATGTAGAGAGCCTGTTGACATTGTGTACCCATGTTTAGAGTCAAGTTTGAAGTAGGTTAGTGGTTTAAATAGGTACTGTTTAGTAGGAAAGCCTGTGGATAGGATTTTACCGCTTAGGCTCTATAAACTCTTTTCCTATGTTGCATATAGATTGGAATTCTTGTGTTTTCTTTGTTCCATTTCCTTTTGTGTTAATTGTGGTTCATCACAATTATTTCCCTTTTAGTTGAAATTCTTATTGAGTAATATAAAATGTTTTACTTCTAAAGTTTCCTTGTTTTGATGACATCTTACCATAATTACATTAGAACCTTCTTTATGAGCATTTGGCTATTTACTAAGTGGGTTTTAATTCTTTTTCAAAGGTTTCAGAGTTTTAAACTTTTTTTTTTTTTTTACTATTTCTTTAGTTTTGAGAACAAATTTTGAAAGTTTTCTCATGTCTCACCAATATTTAAAAAATGACTTTTGCATTTTAAATAACAGAATTTCTTTTTTTTTTAATTCAATAGTTTGCTTGCCTAAACTGGATTTGAAGCAGTTCAAACTACTGGAGATCTGCCATTTAACAGTAACACAATCGAAAAGAAGCAGGTTTTCAAATAATGGAAGAGTCTAAGACCTCTAAAAATGAAAATCATGAACCAAAGAAGAATGCTTGTGTTCTTTCTGAAGAAAGCAAAACAGTTAAAGTTATAACTAATCAAACTTTGAAACCCAGAAATGATAAATCCATAAAAGAAATTGGGACTAGCTCTCCAAATAGGAATAGTAATAAAAAAAATAAGCAAAATGATATTTGTATAGAAAAAACAGAAGTTAAATCATGTAAAGTAAATGCTGCCAATGTTCCAGGCCCTAAAGATTTGGGGTTAGTCCTTCGAGATCAAAGTTACTGCAAAACAAAAAAGTCACCTAATTCCCCGGTGAGAGCAGAAAAAGTACCTGTTTCACAGATAAAAGTAGAAAAGGCATCCAGTTTACAGGCAAAAGCAGAAAAATCACCAAAGTCAACTAATTCACCAGTGAAAACAGAAAAGGCACCCAGTTCACCGGCGATGGTAGCAGAAAAGGTACTTAGTTCACAGAAGAAATCAGAAAAAGCACCCATTTCGCAGATGAAGTCAGAAAAAGTTCCCAGTTCAGCAGCAGAAGCAGAGAAGGTGCCCAGTTTACGGTTGAAAGAAAACATGAGACAGACAGAATTACATCACATTGGAAAAAAAAATTCAAGTTCCTTTAGTTCTGTGGATAAAGTGAATATTGATGTTACAGAGGGAGAAAAATCTGCTCTGGAAAACTCTCCAGGACCTCAGAAGCAACAAACATGTACAGATAATACTGGTGATTCTGATGATAGCGCTTCAGGAGTTGAAGACACTTCGGATGATTTGAGTAAGTACAAATTAGATTATTCCACAAGTCACATTGTAAACGTGTTTACAATGGAAAACCAGAAAAAAAAAATTCCACAGCTCCAGACCTCAAGTTAAATGGGAATGATACAGATAAATAAAGTGGTAATTTAGTTCAGTGCCTAAAACTTGAGTTGAGAGTGTAAATGATGTGAGGGATTTAGACTTTGGGTTGAGAAAATGTATGCATGATATAAATGTTAGACTACAAGTGTGATTGAGATTCAGTGTGAGTAGAACAGGGAACTGAGGGGGAAAGTGGCAAAAGATGCAGCTGAAAAGTACACAAGAATTGGAGAATAAAAGGCCTTTTAGGACATTATAGACAGTTTGGACTTTATTATGAGTGTTTTAAGAAGCCATTGACAAGTTTTAAGCAAAGTTAGTGCTATGATCATAAATATGCATATGTTTACCTTTTTGGCTACAGTGTAGCAAATTCTTTGACAGGAACAAGACTGGAAGCAGTGTTTCTTCAGGGATTTTGATCTGAGCTTTAATTAATTATTTATAAATATCCATGTCTTTTGAGTACTTTAATTCTGATTTTGTTTAAATTAATGATTTTTTTGCTCAGCAGTCTTTTTTCCTAACGTTTCTGTGGCTAGAAGAATAAAGCCTTTCCTTGATGTATAGACCAAAAAAAAAAAAAAAGCTATTTCTAAATTGTTATTTACCATACTTTGAGAAACACTGGTAAAGAGTTCAGAAATAGCTTATTTTTATTTAAGTTGGTACACAGATGATGATATATTGACCGACCATTTAAAAAAATTTAATAGAGGTATCTTTAGGTGTGTAAGAAAAACAACAACTCCATAATTTTATAGATAAGGCTTAGCCCAAGGCCAAAGAAAGTAATTTACAGCCAGTATCGAGAAAATAATAGTACTGGTAAAGTTTAGATATGGCAGATCTAAACATGATAGTACATGAATGATTGAAGTTGGCAAATAACTTGTGTAGAAGATCAGTTACAAGGGTCTGATCACTTGAATTAGTGAAAAATCTGGTTTAAAGAGCATATTTTTAACAAAATAAATGAGGTGACAGAGTGAGATAACAAAGAATGTGGGCTCTGGAGTAAAATTGCATAGGTTTTGAATCCCATCTTCCCCGCTTAATAACTTTGTAATCTTGCAGAAGTTGCTTATCTTTTAAAACATTTCTTTTTCCTAATTTTTGAAAAAGCAGAGATGATGCTGCCTGCGTTGTGAAGGTTAAGTCCAGTAGAGTGTTTTATGTAGTGCCTGACATAAAGTAGGCATATGGTGGTAATGAGTATCCTTTATTATTATTATTTCTCCAGTTAAATGCAGTTTCGTTCGTTATTTGTTAACATGGAGAACAAGCTGAACTACTTAAGGAAGTTAGTATTGGTAGACCAAGTAGAGGTCCTTTTGAGAGACTTGGTTTAATAAATTAATAAGAATGATTTATAGTACTGCATAAAAATCATATTTCATAAATAAATGCTTCTCATGTTTTAAAGAATTCTCTTTAATATGTATATCTTCCAGAAGTCATTTTCATATATAATTGTTTAGCACTTTTTTATCATGAAAAAAATCCAAATTAATAATCTTTGAATCAATTATTTCTCACTAGATTGCTCCTTTTAAATAAAATAAAATAAAATCTTTATATCTGGATCGTTGTCTATTTGGACTTAATAGGCTTTATAGAAATTTGAGTAATTTGAGGCCCACTTGAGATTAGTGGACTAATCTCAGGCCCATCTTTAGCTGCCACCTAGCACTTTTACCATTCTTTCTTTTGCCATTTGTTTATTCAGTAATTATTTTTTGGGGTGTCTGCTGTGTGCCAGGTACTGACCTAGTCACTAGGAATATAGCAGTGAACCAAACAGAAAACATTCTTAAGGAGTTAATATTCTATTTGGAGGAGACAGACAATAACCACAGTAAATAAAAAAGTATATAAGTTAGATAGTTATAAATCTTATGAGAAAAATAAAATAGGAAAGGTCATAGGGAATGATGCTACAGTGTCTGGTGGTGGTCTTTCAAATCTAAATTGTCACTGAGAAGGTGACAGTTGAGCAAATACTTGAAGGAAAGAGATGAGAGTGAGCCTGGTAAATATTTGAGGGGAGAGTATGTTAGATCTGGCTTCTCAAACTTTAATATGCATATGAATCCTCTGGGATTCATATTAAAATTCAGATTCTTGGGCTTTTCCCAGAGGTTTTTGATTTAGAAAGTCTGGAATAGGGCCTGAGATACTACTAAATGTCGAACAAACTCCTAATGAGGTTGATATTGGTCAGGATCATGCTTTTGAGCAGCATAACCTAACTCATCTCCTTACTTTCACTTACACAACCCTTCATTGTGTTTTCAGTAGCAGCTGAAATGATCCTGTTAAAATTATTCAGATCATGTTACTATTGTTCAAAATGTTTCAGTGGTTCCCCATACATCAGAGTAAAAGCTAGTGTCCTTGTAGTGACTTAGAGGGTCCTGCATCATCTGTGGCACTCCTCCACTTCTCTGCCCTCATTCATCTATTTTAACACTTCATCTCTGTGTGTTCCAACTGCATAGTTTCCTTGCAATTCCTCAGATGTGAACGTAAATGTCCACCTGATGGCCTTCACATTTACCTTTTTCTGGGAGAACACTCTTTTCCCAGATGTTCTTATGGCTAGCTCTCTTAACTCCTTTACCTTTTCAGTGAGGCTTTTGCTGGGTCACTTATCTAAACCTTACAACCCTCACCTCCACCCCTGACACTCCTTGTTCCTTTTACCTGTTTGATTTTTTTCCATAGTCCTTACTATCATATTTTTAAATTAAAAAAAAAAATTTTTTTTTTAGCTGAGCCTTCCTGCCACCTGTTGGCAGCTCAATGGCAGCTCAGCTCAAGCCAGAACTCAAACTGCTGTTGCTCAGAGCTCGCACTACTGAGCGAGCTCTTAACCAACTGAGCCACTCGGCCGGCCTCAGATTTTTAATTTTTTGATTTACCTTTTTGTATAATAGTTTTGTTGAGGTATTTTTCACTGCCATAAAATTTATCTTTTAAAAATACACAATTTAGTGGTTTTTTTAGTATAGTCACAAAGTCATGTAGACATTGCCACTGTTTTAATTCCTGAATATTTTTATTACCCCCCCAAGAGAAACTGCATATTCATTAGCAATTACTGATCATTACTTCCTTCTAGCCACTGCCAACCACTAATCTTCTTTTTCTCTATATAGATTTGCCTATTTTATATAAGTAGAGTCATACAATAATTTGTGGCCTTTGTGTATGGATTTTTTTTTAATCAAAGAATGTATTTCAAGTTTTTATTTAGAATTTTTTTTTTTTAAAAGATTTTATTGGGGAATTGGGGGAAGGAGAACAGACAAGTTGCTGGGGTTTTTTTTTGTTTTGTTTTTTTATTTGGTTCTTCACTCCAGTTGTGGAGGACGTCGCTTCACTGGCCCATGTTGGTATTATCATTGCGCTCTTCCCCGGGTGAGGCAGTCTCTCGCCAGCTATTGGACGGCAGCTTACGAAAGCTGACTCCCCCTGCCGGCCAGTCCCACTGCAGCCTATGCTGTTATCGGCGACTCACACAGCCCAGCTCCAGGTGGAGCTGTTGTTCACCATCTTAGCTGTAGAGGGCGCAGCGTCACTGTCCCTCATGCGGGATCCAAACCGGGGTCCTGCTGCTCAGAGCTGGCGTCTCAAGCCAAATCCTAACCAATGCACCACTTGGCCGGCCTCTGAGCTTTATTTTCAATTTGCTGAACCTTTCAAATTCTTCCCCAAGGCTTAGAGTTTGGTTAAAAAAAAAAAAGACTTAGGTTTATCCTGGAGAGTATGTGTTCTCTATTCCTCTAGAAAATATCATCCAGCAGAGCTGGAACTACAATAGAAGCCAGACTTTATGAAACCAAATGCACCTCTAGGGAGAATTTTTCCATTTCAGTAAAATTCGTGAGTACCTTTGTGAAGAGGGTCACAACGTCGTTTGATTTCACTTTGAGGTGGTCAGAGTAAAATCTGGAGAAAAGAGGGCAAATCATTTCGCCAGATCTTTCTATCTGTAGAATTTCCATCTATCAACACTGTGGCTAGTATCACTTCTTGCCTTTTATAAGGCTGACGCTATAGACTGAATTTGGTCCCCTCAAAATTGCTATGTTGAAGCCCTAACTCCCAATGTGATTGTATTTGGAGATGAGAGCTTTTAGGAGGTAGTTAAGATTACATGAGGACATAGGGATGGGGTCCTAATCCAATAGGATTGGAGGCCTTATAAGAAGAGAAAGAGGAATATATTTCTTGGTGCGTGCACCAAGGAAAGGCCATGTGAGGACACAGTGAGAAGGTGGCTGTCTACAATCCAAGGAGAGAGCTCTCATCAGACACCAACCCTGCGGCACCTTAATCTTGGACTTGCCTGCCTCCAGAACTGTGAGAAAACAAATTCCTGTTGTTTAAGCCACTCAGTCTATGGTATTTTGTTATGGCGACCTGAACTGACTAAGACAGCTGAATAATATTCCATTGTATGAATATGTCCCATTTGTTTATCCATATATTCAGTGATGGACATTTGGGTTGTTTTCACATTTGACTTTCTTATTAGTATTGATTTAAACATTCATGTACAGGTTTTTGTTTGAATACCTATTTTCAACTCTTGTTGTTTTATGAGAATATTAACATCTCAAGGAGCTAGTGTTCTATGGAACAAAGTTTGGGAAATTCTGCCCGATTAATTTTGATGTTGATTTCAGAAAATTAAATAATTTCATTTATTTTTTACTTTTAAAGAAAGATACAGATTTCTCTAATTCTTCATATTAACAGAAATGATAATTTTGCAGGATTTTCTGATGTTAGTTGCTGTGTAATGCAGGTCAAGTTAGTTGAAAAGAGAAGGTTAGAATATTATATTGCTTTACTACTACCCTTTTGCATGAAACGTAGAACTAAAACTAGGATTTCACCTTTTCTTTTACATTTCCATCATAAAATTGTTACTAAAAAACTAAATTATTTTTCCAAGTATTAGGACACAGTTGCAAATTGCTCATGGTGCATCACTGTTCCCCTGACAATAATTTAAAAAACACTTAGCTAACCTAGTGACACCTAATGTTTGCATCCTGTTTTAATAATATCTTTATATAAGAGTTTGCCTTCTTATTCTGTACTCTTGTGGTAGGAGACACCTCCAGAGGCACACTATTTCTTCTTTGTTCAGAAAATGAGTGATATCAAAAAGTAGAATTGACTGTCAGGGTTGTATGTAGTTGGCTTTTGAGTGCAGAGTGGAGAGATTTGTTTTATCTGTGAGTATTTACTTTTATAAGTGCTTTTAGGCATATCCAAATTTATTTATTCAACACACTTTTATTGTTTCATCTCTGGTCTAGGTATTGTTTTAAAATCTGAAGGTACAAAGTTAAATAAGACCTAGTTATTGGCATCAAGGAATTCATCACCTAACGGAGAAGATAGATAAATGAATATAAATTATATTACTATGCAAATGTGGGCTAATAGAGGTACCATTGTAGAATATAAAGAATATTAACTGTCTTCTGAAACATGACACGTAAGCTGAATTTTACATGTAAACATTACTAGTTGAAGTCGGGAGAACTTTGATGGTGAAGGGATCAGCATATGTAAAGGCATTGAGACTTGAAGTATTGGTGATCCTTTCTAGCACGTTGGATATGAATAAAGTGAAAAGTGTTAGGGTAGAATGTAGGCTTATAGATGCGTATAATATGGTAGAGAGTTTAAATTTTATTTGAACTCTTTGAAAGCCTTTTAAGTATTTTAAGCAAGGGGATAATATGACTCAATTTGTATTTAAAACATCACACTGGTGGTGGAATCTGCTGTATGCCAGGTACACGTTTGCTAGGTGTTGAAAATGCAAAGATGAAAGCACATAGTCTATTCCTTAAAGACATTACAGTCTAGTTAGGAGGCAGAGTAGCAAAGAAAAAAATATTGATGTAGTGGAGATATACATGAAAGCAAAGAAGGAGCCTGGTGTGGGTTTGTGGTCTGGAGTGTGTATGTTCATTTAGCTGCTGGTGTATAGTGATAAAGTCACTACACACAGTGACTTTTGTTCAGGGACTAATCTTTGGTACTTAAAAGAGCTTTTTATTACAATTACTCCAGAGATTCTACAAGATGGTTATGTTAGCCTTGTGTAGTGAGTGTCGGTTATATTTGTCTCTTGTGATAGGTTGAAAAAACAAGACAGGTATTTGACCCATGAAGTAGATTTTTCTTTGTGAGTTTTCATATCATGTATATCTCTTACTTACATTTTACATGGGTATACCAACTTGTACAACCAAGAAAATAATATTTTTTCTGTGTGTGTATAAATTGAATGTTTTCCATTAAGTTTGTTTTGTTCTTGTTTTTTTGATTTACTAGTTCTGATAATGGTAACTAAGTGATTGCTTCCTTTTCTAGGTAAAATGAAGAATGATGACTCTAATAAAGAAAATTCTTCAGAGATGGACTATTTAGAAAATGCCACTGTGATAGATGAATCTACATTGACACCTGAGCAGAGGCTAGGCTTGAAACAAGCAGAAGAACGCTTAGAAAGAGATCACATCTTTCGACTTGAAAAAGTATACTATGTTGTTTTAGTAATTTGGAGGAAGATGTGTGTTTCATAATTTTTCTTCCCCAAGCATAGCTCTTCTTTTCTTCTTTTCCTAAGGCAGAGATAGCATTCATCTTCCCTTTTCTCTTTTCCTTTCTTTGTCTCTCTTTTCTCCTTTCCCTTCCGTTGTTCTGCAAATCCTTACATCTATGAGTCTGACGTCATTCATTCATCCCAGAGGTTCACAAACTATGGCCTACCCTCTCATTTTTATTTTTTTTTAAAGCTGTGGTAAAATACACCTAGCCTCTTGTTTTTGTAAACAAAATTTTATTGGAACACAGCCATGCCTATTTGTTTACATATTGTCTGCGGCAGCTTTTGTGCTACCACGATTGAGTAGTTGCTACAGGGAATATGTGGTCCGCAAAGCATAAAATATCTACTGTTTACCAAAGCATAAAATGTTTACTAAAATGTTACTTTATCCCTTTATGGAAGAAGTTTGCTGACCCTTGATTTATTTACTTATCAAATAGATCCTGAGAGCATATGTTCTCGGTAATATGCTAGGCACTAGGAATACATTGGTGAAAATGGCACAGTTTCTGGCCATTAGAAGGTAATAGTCAATTTAGAGTGACAGAAGTAAAATAGAAAATATTAAATGATGTTCTCGACTTCCTCCTTTCACTTGCTTTTTTCTCTTCTTCCCATTTCCTCTTTTTTCTTCCGTATTTACATCTACTGTGTATTAGGAACTATTTTAGTCATGGTGTCTTGTTCCTGAGTACTAATTAATTTCTTAACCTAGAAAGTCTTTCTAGGTTACATTCCTAGCCTTAACAATAAAAATACTGCTAGGTATTGAAGGAAAGAACCATAAATTAATCAGTTCACAAATAGATACTTGGGATACTTGTGAGTATGCATATAAGGAAATAGGTCATCATTCTAGATTAAATAATAAAGGAAAGAAAGAAATGGTCTGATTTTGTATAGTTTAGAAAAATGAGGTATAACTAAATTGAAGGCAATCCTGGGTTATTAATAGAGCTTATGACAGAGTAGTCACCCTACGAAAACAGAAAGGAATATCAAGGAGTAGAGGCCCTTAATGTAGGAGAGTTGGTAGTGCAGTTAGCCTCACAAGATCCTACTTAGAAGTCTTTTTTGCAATTTGCTATTTTACTTAGTTTTATCTTGCCTCTCACTTTTTCTTCCCTAAGCCTAGAATTAATAGCTATTCTGGATCTGTGCATTGTCAAAATAAATATTGAGTGCTTTCATGTGCCATGATCTGGTGATAAAAAGTTGAATTGGGGTATGTGTGGCATTTAAAAAAACATGATACTGCTCTTCTAGGAATTTACTAATTAGAGAAAAACATGTAAGCAAATAATAATAATAGTAATAACAATATTGTTTGAAAATGGGATCTTGGACAAAGCAATGACCAACTTGAGTTGGGTAAGGAGACATAAAATTGGGGAATGCTTCAAGGAGGTGATTTTGGAACTGAGTCTGAAGGAGTGGCTAGGAGTTGACCAAATAGGTTGCGGAAGGGTGGTGTAGGTAAATTACATGGGATTTATAAAGGAAATGTGAAAAATGTGTTTTCAAGAAAAACAAGCAAGGAACTGGATGGGAAGATATGCAGTATATGAAGCAAAAAAGGTCAGTTCTTGGAAGAAGGAAGAAGTTGGGTGGAATGGATGTTTGATGGTAGTAAGAAAGAGTGGCCTGAGGTAAAAGAAAAGCTTGGAAGCATGGAAAACATTTTGTGGACTGTTGAATTTAGACAGCAATGATGTAAAATCAGTGTGTCAGTATCAGCATAGATGTCTATAATCCCTTTTCTTTCTGATACCTCTTTGTTTCTTATGCTCACCAAAATCTCTTGTTTAACACTTTACCAACTTTAGACACTCATTAAGAATATTTTTACCAACTTGTTTTTTTCCCCCCCTTTTTAATTGGGGAACAGTGTGTTTTTCTAGGCCCTATCAGCTCCAAGTCAAATAGTTGTTTCAATCTAGTTGTGGAGGGTGCATCTCAGTGGCCCATGTGCGGATCGAACTGGCAACCTTGATGTTATGAGCACTGTGATCTAACCGGCTGCCCCACTAACTTGTTTTTTATTTCATCAGGTCCTTTGGTTCACAGTGTATACCCATAGATTGTCTAATTGAGAAGTAATGATGTAGATTTTTAACCCGTACCAAAGAAGGAATAAATCTAAACAATTAGCTCATAAGGGTAAACTTCCCTTTAGCAAGCATTAAATATTGACTAGGAGCATTAAATACTTAGAATTTCCATGCCTCAAAATCATTATTCTAGCTGGTCTGCAGAAACTTTAAAGATTTATTAGTGTGTTTGTTTAATGGCAAAATAAAATACGAATATAATAAAAGAATTTTAAAACATTTTTTATTTGTCTCTCCTGACACTAGAAGCTTCATGATGGTGAGAACATTTTTTATTATTTTCTGTTGTGTCTCATACAGTACATTGCACATAGTAGTTGGTCAGTAATTAGAGGTAGTTTGCTTAGTAGTTAAGTGAATGGATTTTGGAGTCACTGGATCTAGCTCTGCCACTTACTGATTAAATTCTATTGGATAAGTTATTTAACCTCTTCAAAACTCAATTTATTCATCATTAAAATGGGAGTTGATAAAAATGACACCTAGCTCATTGGGCTGTTATGAGGATTAAATAAGATAATACAAGTAAAGTTCTTGGCCCAGTGCCTGATGTATAGTAAGCACTAAAAGATTAGCTACTTGTAGAATTGAATTATTTTACCAGGTAAGACAATTTTTATTATTTTAAAGACACAGAAGTAGGCTCCAGTGTTAGAGTTTTATCCAAGGTCAATTGAGATGTCATCCCAGGCCTGCTGATTTCCTATTCAGTGTTTTATCAAAATTTTCTTACTTAAGGAATCCAGATATATCCTTGTTTGCTAACATTTTACAATTGAAAAATTCATATGAGGGATCTCAAGACTCCCTAGTGACCTCATTGATATGCATGGCTTTAGGTATTCTGCATTTATACTTTCAACTCCTGAATTCAAGCCTTCTTGCTTCTTTTGCCACTCTTACCTTGAACCAAGCCAACATCTTCTGGATTATTGCAGAATGCTCATAATGGCAAATAAGCAATTCCTGCTTCTGTTCTTCATATAGAACACAAATGATTCCTTTAAAATATTGATTAGATCTTATAATTCTTTGCTCAGAAACCTTCAATGCCTTCCTCTCAAACTTAGAATAAAAGCCAGAATCCTTACAAGGGGCCTTGTGATCTGGACCCCATTACCTTTCTGTTCTAGTCATACTAGCCTTTTTACAGTTTCTCCAACATATTGGGCCGATTCTTGCATTAGGGCCTTAGCATTTACATTTCCCTCTACTTGGAATGTCACTTTCCAGACCCAAAGAGCTTAATCGTTCACTTCCTTTAAGTCACTTTATCAATAAGTTCTTAAGTGATGACCTATTTTTAAGAAGCAATTAACACCCCTTACCATATTCCTATTTGTGCATTTGTTTATTTACACTAGAATGTAAATTCAGAAGGACAGGGATTTTTGTTTATTTTGTTTACACTATTATACCCAGCTCCTAAAAAAAAGTTTCACATACAGTATGAGCTCATAAAATACTGGATGAATTAATTAGTTTTGGTAGGGGCTGGGCCGGGTGGCTCAGTTGGTTAGAGTGCGAGCTCTGAGCAACAAGGTTTCCAGTTCGACTCAAGCATGGGATGGTGGGTTGTCCCCCGCCGCAACTAGATTGAAAAGCAGCTTGGACTTGGAGCTGAGCTTGCGTTCTCCACAACTAAGATTGAAGGACAATGACTTGATTTGGAGCTGATGGGTCCTGGAAAAACACAATGTTCCCCTTCCCCAATTCCCCAACACTGTTCTCTTCCTCAATTCCCCAATAAAATCTTAAAAAAAAAAAAAAAAACAGTTGTGGTAGGAAGCTAAGAGGTAGAAGTCTCTATGAGGGCTTACTTAGTTCATTCTCCATTAAGGACAGATTTGAAATAATTTTTAAAGAATTGGAATTACTACATTGAGCTGAATTTTCTTATTTGCTTGTTGTCTTGGGCAAATTATCTAATCCTTGAGATTTAGTTGCTTTGCCAGTAAAGTGAGAAATCCTCATAGGGTTGTTGTAAGGTTAATAGATACTGAATACATGATGGCTATATTTATTTTTAGTCTGTGGTAGGACTGTTGCTAAATTTGGGGCAGGTTTCCATTGAAAGAAAATCATATACATAATATTCTAAAGTGAGAGAATCTTTTTGTCGGGTTGCAGCCTTTTGAAATATATGATCTATGATGACTATTTCGAAAAGGACAACTGTCTTGGGTTTATAAGTACTGATTTGTTTATTAAAAATTTATTCCTTCAATACTTATTTTTGTCTCATATTTACATAATTGTGCCATTCACATAAGTGTAGTCAAAATTTACTTCTCTGTTTTCTGAAAAAATGCATTTTTAAATTTTTCTTTTCAGCGCTCACCAGAATATACCAATTGCCGGTATCTATGCAAACTTTGCTTAATTCACATTGAAAATATCCAGGGAGCTCATAAACATATAAAAGAGAAACGACATAAGAAAAACATTTTGGTAAGTTCTTATTACAAAATATTAAAATATTTTATTTTTGAATGGTAAAACTATATCAATTAATTTTTATTTATGAAAATAAAAATGTGAGTTTATCAAGTCATATATTAATAGCTGAAGTGATAGTGTTGAAAGCTGTGATTGCTCTCCCTAGATAGTCAGAAGGGGAATCTTTTTAGAGACTAGTTTGCTTACCCTCAAGTATGTTGATTCCTAAGCTTAAAACTTTCAGATATAGGTAGTCCAACCGATAAGTTCTTATGTGCTTGGGTCATCTAGGCAGTGGTGAATAAAATAGGCATTCATGGTTCTTGCCCTCAGAGTTTCTAAAGTGTTGGTGAAGGCATAAATTGAGTAGGAATTTAAGTATCCTCAGTTTTATTAAAGGGGGAAATGTGGTGCTAAGGAAGTGTACAAGGATATTTTACTTAGTCTAGAACAGGGACAGTTTCTCTGAGAAAGTGACACTTGAGTTGAACCTTGAAATAATAGTTTAAAGGCAAAATGGTGAGTGGCATAGAGGGATAAGCTGAGAGCATTTTACACAAAAAAACAGCGTGAGTAAAGGTCTCTTAAGTCAGGAACTGGAGCAGTCTAGTATGAGTAGAGCAAAGAGAGCTAGGAGGAAAATGATGTCAGATGAAACTGAAGTCCAGACCATGCAAGCACCTTGTAAGCTTTAACTGAGAATTCATAAATTCTTCAGTTATTTTTATTAGAACATGAGCAGAGTGTTTTTCTATTTAAAATTTACTAGTATACTAGTTATTTAATTTTTATTTTCAAAGTTATAATAGCAGATTAGCCTTTTATTTCTAAGTGACTGCTTATATCTTCTCTGAGAAATACTTTTACCTGACTTTCCCAACAAGTCTGCGTTAGGTATCCCTTTTCTGCTCCTATAACAGCTTGAGCAGAAAACCTAACACAGTGTATTATAAATGTCTGCCTTCTCTCCTCTTCTAGGCTTTAGTATTTAATATTCTAGAGGGCAGGTTTAGTTTCTTATTTCTGTTTTTACATTGCTTAGGAGAGTGTCTAACACATAGTACGTGCTCAATACATTTTTCTGGGGAAAAAAAATAAATGCATTTAAGAAAATCAGGAACTTAGAAGGAAATCATTCACATTTTTACCAGCCTACTATTTTTATTTAATTAGAGCTTTAGAAGACTTAATAGAACAAGACAGTTCTAGGTCTGGTGGTTTAGGAGAGTTATAATCTCAGAGAAATTTCAAGAAATATTGAAAGATGCTGATTATTCCAGGAAAGCATCCTAAAGCCAAGGAAAGATCTATCTGAAAGAATTAGAGAGAACAGAGCTTGGTGCTCACACAGCGCTGGGAATAGTACCTTCCCACTATTTAAACTGGAAAACCTCATACTTCATGGAGCATTGGGTAGAGTACTCAAAACGATCTTGTTTTAGTATTGGGGAATATTTAGCCCTAAACTGGATATAGTCTGGTCCTGACTAAAATATTTTAAAGGCAAGATCCAAAAGATTAAATTGCTTCCAGGTATTTAATGTGATTACAGAATAAAGCTTGAGAATATTTACAGAAATACAAAATATCACCCCAAAAAGTTCACATTGTGTGGCATTCAGTCAAAGATTATCAGGCATACAAGGAAGCAGGAAAATACAAACCATGATGAAGAGAAAAATAGTCAATTAAAACTGACTTTGCACTGATACAGTAGAATTAGCAGAAAAGGACATTAAGACAGTTAACTATATTCATGGTGTTAATAGAGACAATCCTGGCCAAAATCCTGAATTGAAAAACTGATTCTAAAACTCATATGGAATGCAAAGGCCCTAGAAAGATGTAAAACAATTTTCAAAAAGAACAAAGTTGTACGACTAACACCACCTGATTTCCAGGCTTATAAAGCTACAATAATTAAGACTGTGGTATTAGTATCAAGTAAACAAATAGGTCAGTGGAGCACAATTATGAGCCTAGAAATAGGCACACACATGTGAACCACTGTTTTTTGACAAAGATTCAAAGGCAATTCAATGGAGATGGTATAATCTTAAAGTTATGGCTCTAGACTAATTAGATATTGATCAGACACACAAAGATATACAAATTAGATATACAAAGAAGGGACCTTTATCCATACCTTGCAGTATATAAAAAAGAAAAAAAAAACTCTAAATGAATCACAGGACTAAATGTAAAACATAAAAGTATAAAATTTCCAGAAGAACACAGGAGAAAATTTTTATGACCTTTGATTAGGCAAAATTTCTCAAGATATGACAACAAAGGAAAAAAATGGTTAATGACACTTCCTCAAAATTATAAACTTCTGCTCTTTGAAAGAGACTGTTTAAGAGTGACAGTTTTAGCCAAGACTGAGAAAAATATTTGCAGATCATATGTCTGGTAAATGATTTGTATCTACAAGATATAAACAACTTTCAAAACTCAATAATAAGTAAATAATAAAAATATGGGCAAAGATTTGAGCTGATACTTCATTAAAGAAGACATACAGATGTCAAACACATGAAAAGATTCTCAACGTTCTTCATCATTAGGGAAATCACTACACTTATTAGAACAGCTAAAATTAAAAACACTGCTTATACCAAGTGTTGTCAAGGATGTGGAAGAATGCAAGTCTCAAACAACACTGGTGGAAATGTAAAATAGTACATTCAATTTTTTTTAAGGTTTATTTACTTTAGAATTATTTTCTAAATTGAGACCTAATTGACATAAACATATTAGTTTCAGGTGTACAACATAATGATTCAATATGTGTACATTTTGTGAAACGATCACTGCAATAAGTCTAGTTAACATTCAGCATCACACATTACAAATTTTTTCTTGAGAACTTTGAAGATTTACACTCTTAGGAACTTGCAAATATATGTATAATATAGTATTATTAAGTAGTCACCATGCTGTATATTATGTCTCCAGGATTTATTTATTTTATAACTGAAAATTTGTACCTTTTGACTACTTTTACCCATTTTCCCTCTACCCCCACTTTTGGCAACCAACCATGAGTCTATTCTCTGAGTTTAGTGGGGGTTTTTTGTTTTAGATTTTACATATAAGTGAAATCATATGGTATTTGTCTTTTTCTGTCTGACATATTTCACTTAGCATAATGCCCTCAGGGTCCATCCATGTTGTTGCAAATGGTAAGATTTCCTTCTTTTTTTATTCCTGAATAATATTTCATTACACAGTCATGTGTTGCATAAGGTTTCCTTGGATGACAGTGTTCCCATAAGATTATAATGGAGCTGAGAAATTCCTATCACCTAGTGATGTCGTAGCCTTTGTAGTGTAACATAACTCAGCACATGTCTTACATGTTTGTGGAGATGCTGATATAAACAAACCTAGTTATTGCCAGTTGTATAAGGAAAGAATAGCAAATACAATTATATACCTAGTACTTGTATCTAGGTACATACTTATATATGTACCTAATACTTAATAATAAAGACTGTTACTGGTTTATGTATTTACTATTCTTTTCACCTTTTTTTAATTTTTTGTACTTTGTACTTATTTTAAAAAGTTTGCTGTAAAATAGTATGTCATATTATGCTAATAACAGCCTCATACATCTTGTGTTTACCACATCTCTTGATTGCCTTGTTTTCTCTTGTGCTTCATTTAATCTTGTGTTGTTTGGTACAGACTTTTAGCCTAGGAGCAGTAGGCTATACCATATAACCTAAGTGTGTAGTAGGCTAGGTTTGTGTAAATACACTCTGTGATGTTCGTACAACATGGAAATAGCCTACCGAGGCATTTCTCAGAATGTATCCCCTTTGTTAAGCGGCGCATAACTATATATACCACATTTTCTTTATCTGTTCATCCATTGATAGACACTTAGATTGTTTCCATGTCTTGGCTATTGTAAATAATGTGGCAGTGAACACGGGTGCAGATATCTTTTTGAGTTAGTGTTTTGATTTTCTTCTGACAAATATCCAGAAGTAGAATTACTGGATCATATATTAGTACATCCACTTTCGAAAATGTTTTGGTAGTTTTTAAAAAGTTAAACATACACCTAATATACCTAATTTTATTTCTATGTATTTACCCAAGAGAAGTGAAAGTATATGTTTATACAGATACTTGTATCTGAATGTTTATGGTATTTTACGAGGTCCAACAATTAGTTTGCGAACTTGCCACCGTGCACTTACATTGGCGGCACTGGACAAACAGCTCAGTAAGGTTTCATAACCTTGGTATATCAGTGTCTCACAGCTGTGTTCGTGTCAAAGTGTGGCGGTATCTTGATGAGTGGCGTGCATTATTGCATGTTTTTGTGTGCTGTTGCAAGAATGTGTGAGCTTGAATTAGAGCTATGAACAAACATTAAATTTCTTGTTAAATTTGGCAAGAGTGGAAGAGAAATCAAGGACATGTGAGTCCAAGTTTATGGGGATAATACCATGAAGAAAATGGTAGTACACAAATGGATTAAATGTTTTTCTGCGGGGAGAGAATGCGTCACTGATGAAGAGAGGTCAGGGCGACCAGTAATGAGCAGAACTGACGAAAACATTGCAAAAATTCATCACATTGTGCATCAAAATCGTCGGCTGACTGTGAGAAACATAGCAGATCAAGTAAACATTGATAGAGAAACAGGAAAATCTTAACTGAAAACCTTGGCATGAGAAAGGTGTGTGCAAAAATGGTCCTGAAGGAGAGTCGAAGTTTGCCAAGACCTTTTGGAGAGGCAAGACGATGTTTTGGGCCGTGTTATCACTGGTGATGAAACATGGGTGTACCAATACAACCCTGAAACAAAGCGTCAAAGTGCACAATGGAAGTCAGCCAGTTCTCCACGACCAAAAAAGTTCTGTCAGTCCAAATCAAGAGTCAAAATGAGGTTCATAACCTTTTTTGATATCAGAGGGATTATTCATTATGAATTTGGGCCAACTGGACAAACACTTAACCAAGTTTACTATTTGGGAGTTCAGAAAAGGCAT